GGCTTAAGCCAAAAGCAAAAGGGGCGCCCTGCAAGAACCGCTCCAACCCGCAAAATGCTGCTCCAGAAACGAGTCCAAGCCGCAAAGACGGGTGCCTTTTTGAGTGATCGTAAGAAAGCTATGTAAATTCGCGCCTTGGCCGCCAAATCACTTCAGATTCTGTTTCATATGCAGTCTACCCCAAAACGCCCTAAGCAATTAAATCCAAAACAAAACTATGGGTATGGGTCAAAATTAAACCACCAGGGAAACGCAGGATTTGAACCATGCTTCCATTTACCAGGGCAAGTCATTTTGGGGTTACCCAATTTTTGACCACCACAGCCATCTCTCCGCATCCTTCTGCACGGAAATTCATCTCTGGGGCCCCCTACTGCAGGCATCGCCCACCTGAAGAGAGCGGCTGCATGGATCGATCCGGCCGCTTAACAAGTGGTCCAACTTGTCTCGGTTGCTTTCTGCTCCCCTGCTAAAAGTGTTTAACTTTTGGTGGTTTAATACGGAAAGCCCACTAGTTGGCAAAAAGTTAAAGTCCTAACATCCAAGCAAAATGCACCAAAGTTGTGGCTGGTTAGGGAAATTCATGCGAAAAGCCAACAAGGATTGGATGTGTCCGATCTTCTTGTTAGGCTGGACCCACAACATGGATTTCGGTTGTCCGGCTTTGTTTTCCTTTAAACAACCACGAAAAGGGTACCAACTCCAAAAAAAGCGAGACCCAAAAAGGATTTCAGGATAAACAGCTGCGAGTTGAGTCTGTTCTGCCTCCCGTATTCTGAGAACTCAACAACTAGTTTTGGTCAAACACGTCAGTGTCAAAAACCCACCTCACACCTAAATCATGCCATTCCTCCAGTTTGTCACATCTCCTTTTACATCCCCAGAATTGACAACCCTCCATCTGCCTCTCTACATTATAAATATAAATGTTCTTTTAAAAGCTTGGAACCCGCCCCCCCCCCCAAAAAAAAAAAAAAAAGAAAGGATTTCGGTTCCGGATTTTTTGGGGGGAAGCATAAACAAGGAACACCGGAAGGTGTCCTAATTCTAAGACACAAAGATTTCAGCTCATGGAGGAGACCCCCGCAAACTGACCGCTCCCACCAGGCAATCTTTTTCGGGGACCCGGTCTTTGGTTTCCACGACAAATAACCGGACCCCCACATGTTCAAAAACGGGTCGAACAAACTCACCCCTTAAAGGGGACAACGGTGGTGGACTATCACTCCGTATGGGTGTCTTGAATTCAGGCTACGCCTCTTGGCATTAGCTTTTAACATGGAAAGGGATACCGACCAATGTTGTTTTACTTATTCATTGTTTTTTTTTGGGGGGGAATTCCCCTGTGCCCTTGGAACTTGACCATGGCTACCTAGAGATACCTAGACGCCTTTTCCCCCCCCTTGCTCCCCAGGAGTCGAGTGAGGCCCGGACACCGCCGGGTTCGGCAGGTCCGGGGTGGAGGACACGCGATTCCCCGTGTCCACCGTGGAGCAGTCCGAGCCCTCGTCCGGCTCGCCCGAGGCCTGGCGTCTGCCGTCTGCCGTCTGGCCACGGCACCGCGCGGTGCCCCCCCCCCCCCAAAAGCCATGGACACCTTGGAGTCTGGTGAGCCCCAAAAACCCTCAAGGGAGATGGTTGCAACGTCCAAAAGGGGGGGCGGGGGGAAGCGCTTTCGAGGGGAAACCATGGTTCATCATAGGTGTTGCTTTGGGGAAACTATATGTGGCCCTGGTAGGTTTTGAAACAGCGGGGTTTCCATTGTTACCCTCTACAAGAACCAGGGGGTCAAATCCCCTGAACCACCAATCCAAACCACCAATCCAATCATAACGGAATGTGTGTAACTATTTTAGATATCATGTTTCAGGGTTTTCGGTTTTGAGGGTTTAGGGGGCTCAAAGGTCTTCAGACCGTCCGGCGCAAGTTGCAAAAATCCTCCAACAAGTCCAACACCGGAAACCAGGCATCCCCGAGCAAAGAGCCGTCGCTCGTACCTTCGAATTGGTGGATTTGCTCGGTAGAGTCGTTCGCGAGAGGCAATCAATTGTTCATTGGAAACACACAGCTCCTCCCCATGTGCACATCAACATAAGACACAAAACGGGGGTTCCCCGAAGGAGCTTCCTCCAAAACCATGTGTGTTAATTTGCAGGGCCGCAAATCACACTTTGCTTTGATCATTCTTACCACTCCAAGAGCAAAGCTGGCAGGGAGCCCGCCCATTCAAACCTCACGGCGGAAAATCCCCCGAAATCTGTGATACCAATATGGGGTTGTTCCCATGATTGGAACTTCGAGGGGACTTCTCTTGGTATCGCAGGTACCCCTTATCCCCGCCTCAGTGCTCGCCTGCGCAGTGTTGGACTTGTCAGTCCTTAAGACAGCCGAGTCCAGGTCAGCGCTCCGGCGCTGATTTTCTTGCACGGAATAAGAATTGGATGGACCCCCAAGGTTGACCCCGGATTTTCAACATCAGTTTAGTTGTTCAGGGGGTGTCCATTTCTGGGTTTAGTGAATCACCACTTTTGGAGGGGAACTCCCTATTCATTAACTGGGGCTGGTTAATATATGGGGTCAACATGATACTGTGTTTTCCTGACATCGGTTCATTCCCAAAACCCGGTTTCGGTCATTCCCTACCTATCGCACCGATCGCAAGTTTTTCGGGGACCCAGCGATTCTCCGAGGTGTCGCCGAACTGGAATCGAGGACTTCCGGAGAGTCGACGGATCCCCGAGAACCGAACGTGGTGTGTCACGGGACGGGTTCTGCCCAGGGGTAGGTTGACAGAACATTTGCCATTTTTCTAGACACGTTTCGGTGTCGCGCGCCGCCTTCTTCAACGTTAAGAAGGGTCACCTTGCACAAACTTACCCATGCGCCAGCCTTCAATCCTCCAAATGTGTGTCTATATGTCAACATATGGTGTTGGACCCCCCGAAATGGTGGTTGTCCTTTTGGCTTCACTTTAAGCAAATTTGGAAAGGGTACCAACTCAAAAAAAAACACGCGCACACACACACCCATGAGGCTGGCTTCATATTCATTCGGGAATGCCCCAGGGCAAGCCTTGGGTATCTAACGGCTCGATAGGGAGCAGCCCAGATGGCCAGCTAGCCAAGTAAACAACCAAGGGGAAAACAGCCAACCGGTTGTAGAGCACACCTTTGATTGTTCTCTGAAAGTTGCCAGGTTGTTGGATTCGTTGGCTGACTGTTTGCATTTGAGCATCCACCTTTTAAACGGGTGTGAAAACAGTCCCACGCTATCTGTTTGACGTGACAAGGCCCCCGGATGCACAACGAAGTGAGGCAAACGGCTCAAATGGGCTCGCTCAAACTACCCTACGTTGCAATCAAAACCATCAAACGGGCGTGCGACCATTGCCTGGCGAGTTTTGCTGAGGGTTCAACAAGCCTTTTCCCCGCTAACGAATCCAAAACAAACAACTTTCCCCCTAAAGAGTGCTCTTTTGTTCTGCTATCTTTCAAAAAGAAAACAGTTCCCCTTCAAAATCTCACCCATTCCACGGAAAGCCCCATACGGGTCCCGGCCCCTGAAAAATGTCACTCTGCGGCCCGGGTACACCTCATCCTCCGGGACCTCCGTGGGCTTCGGCAAGGCCCCCTGCAACAAACCGAGCGGTTCGGAGCGGCAAAACCACCATGGATCTTTTGGATGAAACCTATATCCAGGATTTGGTCCAGGTCCTTCTGGTCGCCAATTTTTAACCTGGGGGTTCCTCATCCAATCCCAAAAGCGACCTCAGATGTAATAGGAGTCTTCCAGACAAGTCCTGGTAGAATAATATATATATATATATATATCATATGTATATGTTATACCCGATGAAAGAATTCGAAGATCTAAGGCTTCCTTTTTCTCTTCAAACAAAGACGATTCCTCATTCAAATCCACGTTGCCTTTTTTGGGGAGGGGGTTTTCCCACCTGAACAAATCCAAGGGCGTTCTTTTTTGGAAACCTCGGGTAAAACTTTTTCCGCCCTTTCTGGGCGTATAATTATGGTACCAAAACCCAGAAACCCCTGGAGAATCCATGCAGATCTGTGGCTCGGGGAGCTTCCATTCGCTCGCCGAAAGAGCGCCAGCCCCAGATTTTTCACCCAACGAATGTGAACCCCGGATTCATACTGTGGATGGACAAAATATTTCGCACCACCGTTCAGAAACCCTGGAATGATTCGATTCCTCTGCAAATGCCAACAACAGTGTTCTCGACCATGGTTTCAAAGATGTGCAGGGTTCCGTCCATCCACAGTAGGGACTGTCCCTGGTGTCGTGGGTAGCCACCCCCCCTCACCTTTCACAGGTTCTGCTTGATTCAGCGTCAACTTATGCCTGGTCCTTTCGAGGGAAATGTATGTCTTCGGTAAGTTGCGAAACCAAAAGCACCTGAGGTCGGATGGAAAAGTGGTTGAAGAATCCACAACAAAAAGGGATTACGCGGCCAAGTCGCTCATTCCCCTTGTGCATTTGGCTCGATAAAGAAACCCCTGGCCCATGGACAAGTCAACTGCTTTCATGCCGCACAGTGCCAAGCAAGTCTGCTCAGCTCTCATTCCAAGAACTTGATGTGGACAAAACCACTCTTTACGGGACAAATCTTGAGGGGTCCTTTAATACCATCTGTTTTAGGCAAGCAGGCACCCAACAGTGTTCCATGTGCGTCCGAACAGAAAGAATCAAGTGTTTAAGCACGGTTCTTCAACGTGAGATTGCCTTGCATCCAGCTTTTTGAGGAGACTTCGTTTTTTTTTTCCAAGCCCCCAAAGCTCTCAGTTAGCACACCTTCGACAAAAATCTCATATGCGACGAAAAAAACAGCCGTCGGCGTGATGTTCTGCGGGTCTCATGTGGGCTTGTCTCAAGATAACGAAGCCCCAATATCGGTCCCCTTTGAGTTCCCTTTTCAAACCATCCCAAGTGTCAAAAATGGTACGCCTATGGGTGTCCTTTTCGTGGACATAGATGGCCCTGGTAGCTGATTGAACCACCAGGTAAACCAGGAATCGCCATCTATTTGGCTGTGGGTCAAAAATAAGGTAACCCCAAAATGGAACCCTGGTAAATGGAAGCTTGGACTAAAACCTGCGGTCCGATGCCTGGTGGTTTAATTTTGACCCACACCCATTTTTCTCGGCAAAATCACCAAAAAGGACACCTAGGGAACTCGACGTCCCCCAAAACTGGCCGCCTCAACTCCGCTCCCCGGCTCAGAGATTCGGCTCACGGGGCAGGAGAAGGCCTCGCTGGAGCAAAAGGGCTGAACGTAAACTTAGCTCAGCTGGTTAAGTTAGCTTAGTTCAACCCTCGTTGCGCTTAGTTTATGTATTTTGGTTTAATGATTTGTTGGTCCTTTCTTTGGTCAGCTAGCTTATCCATATTTGTTTCAGGTCCTCTGTTGGCTTCCTGTGTGCGGCGTGTTAGCCCCCAGAAACTCATTCCTGGGTTGCTCCAAGGACTTATGCACCCAGTTTTCACTAGTCCCTGGTCAAGGACAACCAAAGAAGAAGGTAAACTAAGCTTCTGCCCAAACGTTTGGTCGACTCAACCGAGGACTTCGAGCACTGCCATGAAATAGTTTGAATTGCTATCATGACTTTCGGATGGCCGTGACTTAGTCTTGCGTTATGGCACCCCACAACACCATTCGAATAATTCTATGTGGCTGCACAAAAAGTCCGCTGTTTTGTCCTTGCTGATGAATTGGCAGAGAAACTTCAGAGTTGAAGATCCATGCCAGCAGCTAATGGTAAGCCTTTGGTGGTTTGGATTGGTTTGGCTTTGGATTTGAACTCCAGGTTCTTGCAGGCTACATGGAGGTGTTCCGGGGAACTTGCCAAAACTTCTTCTCAAAAGCCAGGGGCTCAAATCCAAACCAATCCAAAGCACCAAGGGCTGCTTCCATTTGCCAAAGAGCGCCCTGGAAACAACACATCAACATTCTCCAATAGTGAAAGATGCCCTTTAAAACCAGGGGAAAATTAAAAAAACATGGTCTGAAGCAAATGAGATGCCCTTTTAATTTTCGGCGAAAATAACATGCAAGGCTTGCTCTTACTCCCGACCGGGCTCACCGCTCCGAAGGCTCACCGCCCACCGCCCGCGCCTGGCGCTCGTGGAGGAAGCCTTCCAGCGAGTCCAGGCGTCCGTTGGGGTCGTCGATGAAGGTGTTCCGCACCAGCAGGGGGCCCGGGTACTGGTACCTCAGCGCTACCAAAAGGCTACCAAAAGGCTACCAAAAGGCTACCAAAAGGAGACAGAGATACAAAACGGGGTCTCCACGTCTGGGGCGACCCAGCGCGTGAAGCACCACTGGGGCCAGGTTGAGACAGCCCGGGAAATTGGAAGAGACGAAGTTTTAGTAGGACACCCTCACATGTGAAAGGAATTCGGGCGGGACATCCTCGAAATTAGAATGACATCCTGTACATGGTTGTTGAAAGGGTACTCACACCCAAGAGTAATTGCAAGAACCCTTACTGGCTCAGTGCTCAGCCGCTACACGCCCAAAAGGCAAGCACCCTTTTGCTGCCACATCTCCCCATATGGGGGTTGATCAATGACCATGGGTAACTTGTCCCTAGTAATGGACAGTCAAATCTTTTCTGGTGGTTTCCCTAATGGTCACCCCATGGCTACCGGACCTTGTGATCGGACCCCGTCCCTAACATCGCTATGGGACCTTCCAGGTTCCAGCTTTCGCATCGCCAGGCGAACTGATGCCCTCCACTGATGCCCTCCCTCCCCCCCACCCGCGCCCCAAAAGCGGGAGGCCAGTTCAATACCACGGTAACATGGGGCGACGTTGTTGCTAACTTAGTTGCTTGCCAATTGAGATGGTCTCGCAACAAGTCCAAAATCCAGGAGCTCGGGGAGTGCGGTTTGAAGGTATTTAGTGGAAGCAGTTTAAACACTAACCTCCATCCACCCCCTTGGGCCGTGGCGAAGCTTGCCACATCGAAGCTGACATGAACCTCCAATGGCAGAAAACGAGCGCGGGGCAAAAAAAAGTCAACCCATGGTCCCGAAGTAAAATGCTCTCTATGACCATGGATTGAAATCTTTTACATTTTGTTGTATTTTGCTCATTGAAGATTATTTCCTTGCTTAGGCTGAGCTGATGCTGGGCAAGTCGCATGGGGCAATCCAGCTAAAACAAATGCATTCCATCTCCACAAACGCCTTCAAACAGCAAAAAGGTAGATCTATCCAAAAAATGCATACAACTGATAAACTGATAATAAGATTCGGGGTTGTGTTTTGAGGATACCCTTCCCAGATTGGCTTGAAGCCAAACAAAGGCGGGGGTTTCCCTATGTCGACACATACCCACATCATATAGCTCTGTATATAACATACACAACGCACACATGGCCGTGGGTCAAAATCCCGTACCCCCAGTGAACATCCCAATCCAACCACTAAAATAAGTTCCAACATGGGCGGTGCACTACCCCATGGTACCAAACCGGTCTTGACCGGCCACATCCCCGGCTGAATCTGCGCTCCGAGCTCCGGGCTGTGGCGACCTACTTGGGGCTGGCGAAATGGAGCTCAGCCGCTTGAGCCAACCTCCCGAAATGGCCGCGGAGGGCGGATTTCATTCTCCGTGTCCAGGAATCGGTGGCGTTGTGTGTTTCTTCTCTTTAGGTCCAAGGTGAAAAGACCAACATAGCCAACCTCTTCAGCTTGCACAAGCAGCATATCTGTGATCCTGGCCAATGCTTAGTGAAGCTTACAATGCGAATCAATTTCGAGCATGGCCCCATCCTGTTGCCTTCTTCCAAACCCCGACAAGAGCTCCGACAAGACATGCCGAGTCCGCCGGCGCAAAAGGCGGGGAAAGTTCGGATAGTTCTGAACAGCTACGGTTGCAGGTTAGTGGATGGGAAGGTAGGGCCATACGGGAAAAGACCCTGCCACAATCCGACGAACCTGCGGGGCACGGGACCCGTCCGCGGCCTGCCGGCCTGCCCAGACACCTTTCTACCCGCCAAAAGCCATTTTCAGGAGGTATATACTTGGACCTCTGGGTAGCAACCTTGAAGATATGACAAGATTAAGCCACAACCCTTGGAACTACCAAGGCGCTTTAGGCAGAAAGCCGCTTTATTCAATAGATCCAGACAGGGGGAGCAAAGAAGTTTCAGAACCTTGCGCGGCTGAGTTCAGAACATGCTTCAGCTTCCGTATCAAAACGCGCTACAACGGGTTCTTATCTTTTGCGTGGACCGGAAGTTGTCCATAACCCACCCCCTAATCGAAACCACAAAATAGGCCCTGCAGGCTCAGACCATGTCAGCTAGAGAAAAGTGCAGTACCGCTATCGAGTCTCTGCGCAACCGCCCGCCGGGAAAAACCAAGCCAAAAAGGTCCACTGTCAGATACGTAAACGTGAACAGGGTGTGTCTCAAAAACTGCAGCTTTCCTTTGGCAAATCCCGTTAAACCTGAAAAAGCCTCTGGCTCTCTGGTATTGTGCAACTTCGTGGCTTTTTGCAGCATGATGACCAAGGCATTTTTTGAGCAACCTTGCATTGACCGCAGCCGTTGTCATGCGGCAAGCTCTCATAGCCCAAGCGGTGGCGTACATTCTGCTCATACGTATAGCTGGGCATGCGCGAGACTGGCAGTGGCACGGCGTTATCCCGTTCGTGAGCGTGGACCCGGACCCGCTGTACTTGCACTCGCTTCATCAAACATTGTGCAGCGAGGACAAGAACGACTCCACCCATTCGTTCGTTGTGGAGACCGTGCTGGATGAGTCAAGATGGCCACTGGGATTTGCCGCATTGGTGAATATGGGTTGGATTGATTGTACGAGCTCATTGGGACTACCATGCGTGGGAGACTCGATGGCGGGACAATGTCCATAGACTCTAAGTGGCGGTCCTTAGATCAGTACCTCCCACAAGGCCTGCACGCCCGCGCGCCCGATCAAGGCATCAACAGCTTCGTGAAGGTCCTCGTGTTTTCATGGCTTGTCAGGCAAAATGCTAGACCGAAGCCCAAAAGGGCTTTGCCAGATTTTAGTAAAGGCCTTGAAGTTGTATGACCGCATGCACAGTCAAAAGTAACAAGGACCGAGGATGGAAAGGTCGTGCTTTTCTGCAGCAGGCGGGTATCGGGTCGAGGCCCCCACCCCCCCTCCCACCCCCCATTGAAAAAATCACTACGGTCGTCTACCAACTCGGTACCTTCTTGTTGGACATCAAACACATTATCTTTGTCGGGGGCTGTTTTCAAGCAACACCTGGCCGCCCCCAGTCGCCTTTTTTGCGGAACAGACGCACGCTGGACTCGCTCTGCTCGCGCCGAATCGCGCCACTCAACCGCAACTCAACCGCCCCAATGGCCCATGGCCCGACTTTTGCTGCCGCCTGCGGCGGCCAAACGTTGGGAGCGCTAAGATGGCGCTTCGGCCCAGGGTCCACCGCCAAACCATAAGGTGGCATGTTGGGAAAAATAGATGGCCCTGGTGAATGGAAGAAACCCAACCTAAACAATTGCCATCTAATTTAAATCCTAAAAAGGACACCTATGCGCCAAACACGCGGAGGCCAGCGATTTGTATCGAGGTGAGTCACAAATCGCTGGAACTTTGGCCCTTGCGAGTCGGACCCTGGACCTGTGCCAGCTCCGTTAACTAAGTCAGAAAGCCACTAGCAAGGGCAACTGCCGGCCGTTTTGTTTCCCTTCCAAATGCGGCCAAAACCATCTGACCCAATCTGCAAGTCAGCCGCCCTCCTCTCCGCCGGGGCGACCTGTGACTCTCGTCTTGCCTGCGCCGGGGTCACTGCACCTAGGACCTTGAGGACACCGCTATTCTGTGTATTGCCTTGGGACAGCAACCATTTGCTTTTGCTGTTGTTTTGTTTGGGCGGGGATCCCTCTATTTGACAGCCACCATGTGTTTCTGCATGTGTTTTGCTTGGGGAGTTTATCCCTCTGTCTTGACACTCTTTTCATGTCCCCAGCTCTGTCCCGCAGTTTCCCCTTTGTCCCCCTATGTCCTTCCACTCTGACACGCACACACACACACACAAATTTATATTGAAATCTCCCCGGTCCCAGGCGACACCAAAACTCGAACTCGCGAACTCGACCCGCTAAGCGCGCACCGCAGAAGCTCACTTGCTGGAGTCCCAGGGAATGCACAGGTCACTCCTTGGAGTGCAGAGAACAGGCCAAAGGGGCAGTCAAAGGTGAATGCACCGGCCTTTTTCTCCACATGCAAAAACGCGCAGGTGGGTGATTCCTTTGTAGGAACTCCAACAAAATGGTGGCTTTCCTCTTGCTGTCCCTTTGTAGGAATTCCTGAGCCCGTAAACAAACTTCCTACTCTAGACTCGAAATCGGAGCTGAGTAGATTGGTCAGCAAAAGTTTCTGGATTTGCTTCTTGGTACAATGATTCAAACCCCGAAAAAATCCAGAGCCCTATAATTGATTCCCATAAATTTACAAGCAAGGTACCAGGACCCCCTCCCCCCTCTTTTGTTCTGCATTTGGCTTACTTGCTGCAAGAAAGGTCGAAGACTGACCAACCGGTACACACACACACACCCCTCAAAAAAAAGAAAAAGAAATAAAAAGCGCTCAGCTCTTAAGCTCGGCGCAGAGGGTGTTTCTTTTTTTGCCCATGCTTTCTCGCTGCAAGTCCCTCCCGACAGCTCGCATGCTCTCGCCCTCGACTTCCGCATTCCAAGCAGCCCCTTGCCCTCCGCAGTGGACGCCACCACCAGGCCCACGATCAGCCCGTAGAGGCCCAGCGCCTATCGAAGCGACGAAAGGACGACGAAGCGACCGCTGCCAGTCGAAATGGTTCGATCCCCAGGTGCAACAACCCTTAAACACCCAAAATGGGGAAAGGGGGGGGGGGGGTTGGGTGGGGGGGGTTCTTGTAAAAAGAGAAAGGCCTAAAATGACAAGGGCATCCCGTTTTTGTTGGCTTCATTTAAATGCCCACCAAGTCCGGGGTCCACTATCTGGAGGCATGCCGTGGCAAAAAACCTCTGTTGCTCCTCTTGGGGGCCTCTGAACAAAGGGGGGCCCTCCCCACACTGGGCCTCGGTGTTGCCTTGGGCTTCCCGGATGAAAACCCGCCAACTCGTGCACCGGCTCCAAGCACCAGTTGGCCTCTTTGGAAGCTTTGAAACATAGGAGAGTCATAATCAAAACCCGGTACTAAAATGGTCGACCCAGAGCCATGTAAAGAATTAAGAAGGTGGCCGCAGCTATTTCTGGTTGGGATTGTCCCTCACTATCCTTCATCTACCCGGGTTTTGAGCAAGTGGCTCAGGAGGAACTCCCATGTACGGTTGGGCTCCCTGGTGGTAAACCAAGAGCCTCTGCTCATTGGCGTGTCCCCAAAAACAAGCCGGATTCTCAGGTAGCTTTGTCTCATGGGGGAATGAATGGGAACAAGGCCCTGAGCCTCAAAACAAAGACACGCCCAAAGCCCAGCGGATCCTAGTTTCGTACAGCAAACGCATGTCCTTGGTATATTTCAGGGTGGCCCTGGGGGATCCCAACATGGTAGACCCGTTTTGGATGTTTTGAAGGGAAACCCCCCAACAGAAGCAACCTGAGCTTTTGGGGGCCGAATCCTATTTTGAGAAACACCCAAGGCGGGTTCTCAACATGGAGTCCCAATGCTGTATCAAAATGGTAAAACGCAAAATGTTGGTTCCCGTTTTACTGGCAAACGGGATCGCATGGGGAAGGTTGAAGCGGGTTTGGGCCAACCCCTTTTTTAACCATGTTCAACTTGTTCAACCCACTTGTTTAAAAAACAACCTCCTTTGGGCTTCCCATTCGAGGAACCCAGCATGTGCCGAAGGTTGGCTTTGGGTTGAACATCGCGAATCTGCTTGAGAACCCAACCGACTCGACTCCGAGCGACCGAAAAAGTCTCCGACCTCGGCAAAGATCAGGATGAGGATCATGCCCACGAAGAGTCTAGGCCTAAGGTGAGAGAGCCTCCATGGGCATGTGTAAAAAAAAGGGAATTTATGAATGGCGGGGCTCCCTTTGGTGTCTGTTGTAAACCAGGTTGAAAAGGGTACCATCAGAACACACACACAGACACACACATGCGCGCGGTTTTTATTCAGCGGCAAGACATGAGAAGGTTTATGACCCTTGGTCCTTCATAGCTAGCCACTAGTCACTGAGAGTCACTGCTTTCCAGGAAAATCCAAGCAAATGAGCCATACACCCACCAAAAGCCCCGGGTTTGTTTCTAGACATCTAAAACCAGCTGGACGCAAAGATTTCGATTAACCATCACTCTCATCCCCTTTAAAACTCGTTTTATCACAGAAGGTTGACCAACTTTTGCACAGCCCTCGCTTGGGACTTCAAATCCGTGGGAGGTCTCATCGGCACTGTTGAGCCCAGATACGCATCCTAGCGCGAGGCGGGGTGTTCCATGATGAATCCCACCCTCTAATCAAAATCAACCAGGGGTTTGGCCCGCCGAGGAGCTCTCCAAACACCAGCTAGTACATATTGTAAGTAGGGAACAAAGGAAACCAAGGGAATTCCCATTTGGATGTCCTTTTTCAGGGACCCCCAAAACGATGTTCCTGTTGCTTTCCCTTCAACCACCCAAAGGGGGTACCCTCAAAAGAAGACATATGGCTGTGGGCCAACATAGGTACTCAACATAAAACCCTGGCAAATGGAACCACGGACTAAACCCCTGTCCGACTCCTGGCCTCATTTTGACCCAGACCATTCCCCATTTTTGATTGGCTTATCCCCCCCCCGTGCTCCTCCCCTTTTACCCCCCACGCCCCACACCCCACGTTGCCCGCCCCCCGCCCGCCGCCCGCCGCCCCCCCGCCGCCCGCCCAGCGGGGCCCCGGGCTGCTGGGCGTTGGCGCGGACCCCGGCGTCGCCCACTACGCCGATGGCCATGCCCGCGGCCAGGGAGCTCATGCCCACCGTGATGCCTGCCTCGGCTCTTCATCGAGGAGACACCGGAGATCGGGGCGGTGGGGTGGTAGACTTGGGTCAGATCACACCGTTGGGCTGGAAGACTTGGGTCATACATATATAGACATATATAGACATATAGACAGTTTATCCATACTTATAGACATATGTTTATATATGTATCATGATATAAAGGCCGGATATTTTAGAATGCGGTCGTGGGGCACTTTAAAACCAGAATTACGCACAATCATAGAGGTATTCGTAAACTATGCTGCCCCACGTATTCCCCTGTGCAGGTAGGTTGGTAGGGCTGATGTTGCTAGGGTTGATTTTTGGTGGGTTTATGGTGGGCTTAGGATTCATATGCGTTTCAGGATTGCTCCAAAGCCGATTGTCACAAGCGGATTTAAAAAAAAGTAGAACAAAAAAGTGGCCGCCTGTCAAAAGGGAACCCCAAAAACCGCACCTCTGTCTTGCTATGGGTTTCCCTGCAAGCTGCCAACTTCTCCAAAGAGCCACACCAATTTCCCTTTAAGCACGCCTTTTTGGCTGAAAAAGAGTGCTCTCCAAAAAACAAACGAGCCACACCGATGCCATCTTCTCAATGTTCCGCCCGAGTTTTTGAACAGCTTATCCGAGAAAACTGGAAAACCCCGCTCGGTCGAGAGACTTCTCCGACCCGAGCTGCGCTGGGGGTTGATTCCCCATTCTTTTCAACCATCGTTCTTTTCAAACAACAGCCATTTTCCCTGGGTTTCCGGAGGTTTTCGACAAAGAAGTATCCCTGGAAAGAATGGGGAAGGTACCCCTGGAAAGAAGGAAACCTGATGTTCTGCCCAAACTGGAGGGTCATGGCATCCGAGAGCCAAAACCCACTTCTGCATTCATGGTCATGAGGCTCCCAAAAACCCTTTGCATGGCATCTTCACAAAGCGATGTCACTCCACCTGGAGCGCCAAAAAACTGCAGGTCCTTTTTTTGTTTGGTCCACCGGCTTTTCGGTGATTTTCCGAAATTTCTCCAAGGAAGTTCGGAACCCAACCCCCAAGTTCCCGGAGTCGACTCAGGCGACTCGGTTCCGGGCCGCGAGGTGCGCGTAGCCTGAATAGGCCTCAGCTGCAATCCCTGGACGGACATTGGGTCTGGGGTTGCTCAGTCGCACGGTTTTCAGGTTCACCACGGGACGGCTTGAGCGGTCCCGGTGGTACCTGGGGGTCTGGGCTGGATCAACAGGTCAAAACATGGGATGACCAGTGGTGGGAAACCAACGGGCACCATGAAAGTCAAGCCCTTTATGATCTCGCAGGTTGCCTCTCAAAAGCAGAGGGCTGTGTCACGTGCGCTTTTCGGATTCGTGCCAACTGCTCGGTGTCCGTCGCTGAGCTCGGGGCGGAGTAGGAAGGGGGATGGATCTTGCCTGACGCGAGCAAAAGACTTGCATGCGTCAACAGGTTGATCTGTTTGTACCCTTTTGCTCGTGCCCTTGGATAAATGACCCCAAGCCTTGGCGTTGTTCGTACCCCTCTCCCCGGAAAAGGAAGGGGCTGTATATTCTACCAAAACGAATTTGGGTTGGCAACGGGGGCCCGATTGCAGCACCTGGGGCGCAAGGCGCCATCCGAAAGAGATGGCCCAAAGCTGTCAGAGTTGGCCCACTAAATCATTGACCTGTGGAGCGTTGCGGGTAAATCACTCTTTAAACAAAAAACGGCAACTTGGATGAAGCGACTTGGAAAGTTGGTTGCAACAATTCTACTGGGGACAATGGGCTACAACTAACCTACAAGCCAAGTTGAACGTCCAAGAACCGCGGGCAACATGTGGCGGCAGGACCATCCAACTCAAACACACACTCATTTGGTGTCGCTTTTTGGTGAGGACACTTCAAAATGCTTGGTGGACATGAATGAGTGATGTCCACTCAAGGGCTTCCAATTAAAATGAAAATAGTCACCCCGTACAAGGCGTACGTTGTCCCCGGTCCATTGTATTCTGCGTATGCCAAAGCTCCGACCGCGCTTCGGACAAAAACTATTTGCGAAACAAGTTTCGCCAGTTTGCCAACGCATGGTGACCTATTCTTCATGGCATTCAACTGGCGGGTGCCAGGAAAATAATTTGCCCATTGCACATGCTCAATACATACGTCCATACTTTAAATCCAAACTTAGTCATGGTCATGGAAGAATCATGCGCGTAGTTGTTTGCCCTGTGTGTTAATTTGGCTACAAGCCCCCCTTTTTGGCGTTGGAAAACCTCCCAGCCTGCACCGGAGCAAAACCGAACACCGAAAACCGCCACCGAGCGGTTTTAGGCGACCAAAGGCGAGCGGCCATTGATGATCACCGCGGTGATGAGCCCATAGATTCCCAGCCTCGCGATCAGCTCGCGGCTTTTTGTTGCGCGACCCTCGCTCCAACAATTCATGGAAGCTCACAGGGGGGTTTGGAAGACTACTTTCCTTCTTGGGGGAAGCCCCCTGTCCACTTCCAGGATTGGAAACAGGGTAAGTACAGCAATTAGATGCGCGGTAGCTTGGGGGGTTTAATGGGCGGGTTACAAAAAGAGCTCAATAGAGGGATAGGCTGGGTCCTGGGTGATCTCGGAACTTGAAAGAACCACCCCATCCCTCTTTTGGTTTCCTTTCGGGAAGATGAATATCTATGGGCTATTTGTCGCTGAGCGGAAAAAACACATCTGCTTCGACGAAAACATGCCAAACATTAAAGGTGGCACCAACGAGGTGCCATGGTCAACAATCCCCAATGGAACATCTTGTCACGGTTCCCTCGCGAACCTGTAGATTTTGTCTCAAACCTCTGAGAGGTTGATTACCATCCTTCCCAACCCAAGTAAGTGGGGTCTGTCATTGTCAAAGGTGGTTAGTCTTCTGCTACCTAGCTTCGGGGAGCGTGCAGCTGCTTAAAACAGCCACCAGAACTGAAACCGACCCATTAGGGTCTGAATGGTCAGGGCTTCACCATCTGAAAGGTTTTTCTGGGCTGCAACTGTTTCAGTTGGTTGTTCATACTGATGGACAAAATCCACTTTTAACAAGTGGTTTACCCTACCGATTGGTGCTCCTCTCAGCTGAGCCACGCGCATGTCCCAAGCCGCGGCCCAAAACCGCCGAGCTTCATCTTTTGCGGGTTTCGCTTTGCCGACTGCGCTGGGCTACCACAAATGTTGTAGGTTACTGACATGATTGGGCACGTCTCAACCAAAAGAACCGGATTTTTTCTTTTGCGGGAAACAAGAACCCGAATTGCTTCTTCCAACCCTCCCCCCGGCTACACATGCACAGAAACAAAAACATGAGGTGTCAGATATTGGCCGCATACCCGCCAAAAACCACGTTGGTGTCCCGTAGAATGTCCCTCCTCGCAGTTCGCAAAAGGAAGCACCAGACATTCCCGGCCGGTGCTCCGAGCCGCGAGCTTGGCACCTGAGCCTCGCGCACTCCCGCCATAACCACCGGGATGATGGACCTTGGGCCCGGGATGCGGAAGCTGCAGCTCTGAAACAAGAGAAGCCATGGCATGGTACAAACACATCTGCGATGTCCAACTATTGGATGCCCAAGTAAAGGACCTACATCATGGCGAGTTCTGCTTTTACGCCCGAATCGGTCGCCCACGAAAAGCAGACGGAATGCACAGGCGTGCGTGGTGTTGAGATGTTTTGAGGGTAGATCACCCTCCCCACACGCATACTGGGCCAAACAAATGGGGTTGTCCTTGTGGTTTCTCCTTAAAACCAACCCAAATGGGGGGGGGGGGGGCGTGTTGAAAAACGCGCCAATATACTGCAACATGTATGATTTGCTATGTTCCCTCCGTTTTGAACGGACAGGGGCATGGCGCGTAAATGGCTCTGCTTTTCTCCAATCGTTGAGATGGCTTTAGAGAAGCGGAACCTAAACACCGACATGTTCGTGACAGATCGTGGCTCGTCCAGCTGAAAGTTCATGCAAACTGGGGTTTCTGATATTCAATTGTCATTGTTGGGCATTTTATCAAAAGAAAAGAGCGCCCTTTCAAGGGACGGTTGTTCAAACAACATTTCGTATGCCTCAAGAAACCAGCGGTTGAATCACCAAGCGCCAGTCTTCTATTGGCAATATCCTAACCTTGGAGGTTGCCGCTCCAAACAAATCCGGGGTCTCTGGAAGTAAACCGACCACTTGGAGGGTGGCACGCCGTGGAAAACATTGAGAGAACCGCTAAGCCGCTAAGCGCAAGCCCCTGAAAGTAAGCCGAGCTGTGGATCCAGGTACCCTACCTTTTGACCATACCCGGACCCTCCCAGCATTCCGGGGGGGCAAAACACGCTCAGGATATGCCGGAGGGTTCCTATGGAAATGACTTAGAGTCGCTCCTTGTTCCTGACAAGTTCAAGCGCTCAAACTGTTAACTCCGAACCGAAGTCGTCCCGTAGATCTTGCAAAACAGTTCGGACTTGCAGGGAGCAAGGGTGGAACAACGGTGGTGTTGAAAGAAGAGCGACACCCCAAAGTTGCTGGCCCAGAAATACGGTTTAGCTTCCCAAATCAATCTTTGTGTCCCATCAGAGTTCCCAAAAAAAGGCTTCCCCGAAGTGCTATCTTCCCTTCTGTTCTTTGGAATCTCTCAAAACGGACCCCTTCTGTTCCGTGGAGTGGCCAAAGCAACCAAACTGTTTGGCGCTAACACAATGCGTGGTGTGAGGTTCTAGAACCAAAATGAGTCTGTCTTAAAATAGGGCACCCCAAAATGGTATTTTGGTCCCTTTGGAATCCCTTCAAAACCACCCCGGCACCTCAACAAAACACACACACACAAACAAACAAACACGTACACACACACACACACACACACACACACTCAAATGGCGAAATGCAGGGTATGTGGAATGCGTCTCGATCACCGGGCTGGCTGTGGCCCCAGCCTCATCACCATGTCCGGTCGCATCACCTCGAGGCGGCAGGGTTGCGCTGGAAGTTTCCCACCAAACAAATCCCGAAGCGGTTGATTTGGGACCCCCGTATTTCGAGCCATACCCATTACTGCTTATTGGTCCAGAGTCGTTGTGCTGTTCAGCTGGAAATGACCGGGGAAAACTGTTTCCAGCAATGAAACTATTTCGGAACAGTGGGTGGACATGAATCCCGCACTAGAAAGAGTTCACAGGCACTCTCAAAATGGTGGCCCTTTTGTTTGGTATTCGAATGAAAGCAGGAAACCAACCATAGGGGGCCGAAGCCAATTTTCAGAAAACATATCCTCCCGAGTGGATCCTAGTTACCCTTGTAGTAGGTAGCTGTTGTCCTGTTGGTTTTATGTGTCGGGTGGTTCCCTTGGTTACCTGGTAAATGGATCCACTGGGTTCTAGCGGCACCGAAATTGCGATTGCAAGATGTTCGGCAAAGAGAAGCACCAACCTCGCGGTGTCACGACTTGATCAATCACACTCGGCTCGAAATATCCCGTCTCCCCGTCAGGGCCAAGGGAAACCTGCTCCCATTGAATCCTGAATCCGCAGAGCTGGACACCCCCATCTCTCAAAATCAATCAATTCTACTTAGATCCGGGGTTCCCATTGACTCACCTGCGGGATGAAACCAGCGGGATTCCCTAAAGTGGATGCCTCTTCACTTTGGGAGCCTTCCCTTCCCCTCGGAACCAAAGTCGCGCGCCCATCGAAACAGGTGGACTTCCTCCAACCAACTGGACACCAAGTCTCTACCCTCTGCTCATCTTCCCCGCAGTTCAAAGGCACCCCCGTTTTGGACCTTGATCCGAGGCCGTTCCCCCTCATGCAAAAAGGAAGTGCCCACAGGTCGGGGGCCTGGGATTGCCTGGCAACCCAAAAGGGACCCAACCAACCCAACCAATGGTTAAAAATGAGTTTGCCTTGCCATCCCCGAGCAAATTGCTCCCCCCCACAAAAAAGAACGAAACCAACCAATGGGGATAAATTTGAGTTGCCTTGCCATTTTGGCGCCTTGCTCCCCCCCCAAAAAAAGAAGAAAAACCGCCGAAAAACCTGCATCCAGAAAAGAAACAAAAAAACAACCGAACCAACTGCATGGGAAAAAAATGCGGCTCTCGGGCATCCGGGCTCCCAGGTTTGCGATGCCCACCCCGCTCTTCGCGGTGCCGTAGGCCGCCCCCAAGTTCGCCAAGACCTCGGCCGCGGGCTCCGTCCGACCATCGTCCGACCATCGTCCGACCATTTCGACCGGGACGGACGCCAACAAAAAAAACGAACGGGGATGGACGAAGGGAGAAACAACAGCGATCCCAACTTGAAGGATGTTCACAGAACCTCTCAGATGGATCAGGTCCTAATTTTCAAGCATGTACCTTGGAATTGATCGGTATGGGAGAGAGGGGGGTCTGATTGTTTTGGAAAGCGGACGAAACTTAGGCACCAGGTCAAGCAATTGGCGAGCTGCGCCGCTTGGCGGGCGGTTTACCAGCCAGGAGCCATGGAATTTCGGGCTGAGTGATCTTCACAACCCTTGGTACGGTAGCAAGAATTGTGTTTTTTTTCCGCCCACTACAAATGAACAGAAACAAAAAACAAGACAACTGGCCAAGAACAGTGAGGTGCTGTTTAACGGTAGCTTCCTGCTGGCGTCAAAACTTCGCAATCAGCCTTGGATGCAAAGACTTTTTAAAGACATTCAAGCTCAACCAATCCCTTCCTGGATTGGCCAACCAATTCGCCGAACCCGAGCCCACATGAACACAGGGAGTGAAACAGGGTTGCAACCCTTTGGGAGGCGCATGGACCCTAGGCTTCCATGGATGGTTTGCCAAAAGTGCTGAAGAAACCAGATCCTTATCGCCACTAAGGGGATTAGAATTGGAGGGGGCAGAGATACCCAAACATGCATGTGCACCAACAAGCTTGGAGAGTGAGCTGGAAGAAGTGGAAGACACCAGCTATGAGTGTGTCACCGTGGTTTTCCGTTGGCTTCCTTGAAATGACTGGCCAAGGCCAAAGTTGCAATATCGGCAGGGGCAACACCATAGGCTTCCAATCCGGGGTGTTTGTGCGCCATTTTCCGGGACCCAAAAGGAATCCATGTCCACCGCTTGAACTCTGACCGGAAAATCTATGGCTGTGGCTCTCTCTCTCTCTCTCTCTCTCTCTCTCTCTTTTTAGGATTTGGACCCCCCGAAAAATGGATCTCGGTGTTCCGCCCTTCCGAAGCCAACCAAAACGGGGCACCAACCCCACAAGGGGGCACACGTGCGCAGTGCCGAGACTTTGGCTTTCAGCTGGACAGGTGGAAACGCCAGAGGCATCCAGGCGCCCCGAGACACAGAAAATCGGAGCTACCGCGGGGTTTCTCGAAAAAGAAGTCGCCTATTTTTTGGGGGTGTCCCTTGGGTCTCCATGAGCAGGAAGCTTTCCAAACAGCACTTCAGTGCTCTTGGCAAGCTTTCTCTCAGTTTTTGGTTCTGTTCCTTTTTAGTAGGCTGCAAAAAATCAAGTTTCTCGGTTTCCTTTGGGCTTCCCTTTCAATACCAACCACAGGGGGGGTCTACCGTGTTGAAAAACACTCAGCTTGGTGTACGGCCTGATTTCCTTGCCTAATTCAATCTACATTCGAAACATCTTCGCTCCGCATCATTGGTCTGAGCAACCTAGACTTTGCTTCGTTGTACCCAAAGCCTGCCCCAACCTCCCCCCCTTGAGGATCCGACGATGGACATGCTGACGCCAAGCATGCCATAAAAGTTTGCCGAGGGATCACACCTGAGCAGGCACCAGAACTCGGTTGCTTTCTGCTCCCCTGCTAAAAGTGAATAACTTTTAGTGGTTTAATACGGAAAACCCCTAAAAGTTGGCAAAAAGTTAAAGTCCTAACATCCCTGGGCAAAATGCGCCAAAGAGAATGTCACATCAAAACCGGGCCACTGCAGAGTTCGCAACAGTCGGGACCCTCCAGGGAAAACCAAACAAGTGGCACCCGATTTTGAGAAGTTCCCCAAAGGGCTATGTGGCGGCTCTGTGCCGGGACAGCCGAATGAGACCTCTTTAATTGGGACTCTCAGAGGGGAGCCAGTATGAAACCAAGCCTTTGAAGACTTGAAACTGTGCGTCGTCACAAAAGGAAGGCCACCCCATTTTCATTTTTGTCGATTCCCCCAAAAAGGACACACACACACACACACCGATTTGCGCGCCGGTGAATCCGCGCGCTTGTTTTACAGCTCAAAAATTTGCTCGTCTGGCCCAGGCTAAGGGACCAGCACAGACTTCATCGCCTCGGCTGGCGCTGAGAGGGGTTGGCTTTTCGCCGGGGTTGGTCGATGTTTTTATGTAGGGCCGCACGAAAAGCCACGGGTAACTTCCCCATGGTGGTGGAAAGTCACATCTTCTTTGGGTGGTTTCGCTTGGTGGTCACCCCACGTTTACCGGACCTTTTGATCAAACCCCCACCGCACCGCCCGTTGGCCAAAAAAACAACGGAACCTGCAAACAAAGAAGCCCTGGCGGTCTCTGGAACCCTCCCCAAACAGCTGCCCAAAACGACCACAAAAAAAAGCCTATTTGGGCCTATGGAGCCGCTAAGGTTCCCCGAATTGGACTCTAGGTGTCTGGTTGCAACAAAGTACACCCGTTTTTGAAACTGACACCATAGTTCATGCCAGGTCTGCAAAAATACATGCTCCTCAAAAAGGGGAGCCCTACGAATGCCTGCCCTGTTGGCTGCCCTTTGAGACACCAGTACATGACATCCTCAGAATTACCCGCTTCAAATTAGCCGCCAGATGGTTGTGCTGGAAGCACCCCTCAAATTCTCCACTTCGGACCCAGAAGCGGGATCCGATTGAGAGCGACATTCCGGGCCCCGTGAAGGTATCCAAAAAAAAACGCGAAACCAACAATCAGGTTGAGTTGGCGACTTGCGACATGTCTCCGGATTGAACGGTGTGTCAAGAGAAACGGCAAAAGAAGACCAAATATATCTGATGCTGCAATTCCACCATTTGAGTTTCATCACCCTCTTTACTTAAACAAAAAACAACTGCGCCATCTTTACTTTCACCCTTCATGCCGGGTCTCGCGCTTTTCTCCCGACAGGAACCGGTCGCTCGGCGCGGGCCCTTTTCCCCGTTGTTCACCTTCGAGCCGAAATGCGTCGCGCATCCTACGGGGCAAGGGTTCCTTGCATTTCGCCTTTAAACCCTTACATAGGGAAACGTTTCCCATCCATGGTTCAGCCATTTGCCCTTATTCGGGGCGGGGATTTTTTTTTCCCGCCCCGGCGGCTTGCTTGATTTATGGGGTGAAACATCTAAGTGTGGTTTTGCTTGCACCATTTGCGCATGTCAAAACATATGCTTTTGCCCCCCCCCCCCCCCAAAAAAAAAAAGGACTTCGGTTTTGCGCTCGCGATTAGCGAGAAGCGATGGGTCAGGGACCTACCAAGAGAGTCGTGTACGCCAGGGTTCCCCTTGAGGGTTATTGGCAAAAAGCAGGGTCCCACTTCACATTCGGCGGATGAATCTCCAACCTAAAAAAGCATGAATCCGTTCTGGACAAGGCTTTTGTGGTTTTGCAGGGAACTCCAGAGGACAGCCGAAATCCAATTTGGGGATCCTGGAAAAGGGATCCATTTCATCAGAGCTTCGCGACCCATTCCGCCCTTTTCAAAGGTTCCCAGGTGAAGGACTTCTCGATAACCCGCAGGCAGGGATTTAAAAGGCCACATTTGATGATGCCAGAATTGGCTCACCCTCCTGAGACCTTTCCTCGGACCCGCTCAGCCGCTGCTCTCAAACCAAATCCCCCCAAACCCCCGAGTTCGCCATTTCAGCAGACCCGACCGCCCCCAGCCCCCACCCCCGCCCGTGCGATTTGCAAGCGCATCGTTTTACAGCTCGCTCCTTCCCTTCGGGGCTCGGAACACCGCCAGAGTCCTGACGGGTCCAAGTTGCTCGGAATGGCGCGGGGCTCCAAAAAACCCCACCGAAGGACTTGGGGAACCGAAAACCTCCGAGCTCTTGGCGTCAGGGGTCCAACGGTCCTAACCCGAATGCTTCACCAATCCTCACTCCCAGTCTCCCAGTCCTGGCGATGTAGTCAATCTCGCAGGCGCTCCGCACAGCCTCACTCGTGGGATGCGATTCGAGAAATTGAGTCGAGCCCGCGAATGGGGTTCCTGTGCCATGAACCTCGTTGGACCAGACTCGCGTGACTTCCTCCTTAGACGTGTTTTCCAACCCCGAAAAGACGCCCGGAAGACGGCGGAAACGAAACGAAACAGCTGAAAAGCCCCGGAAAGAGGCGAACACCCCAAACGAAGGCCCGCTGACTTGTTGGTGTCAGGGCCACCCTTCGTCCCGCAAGGAAGGCCCGGCTTTACTCTCGCTTGCAACCGAAGAACTGCGGGGTTACAAAGAGTCCGAAGAAACTGTTGGCATACGACGCAGAGTTTGTACGGCTTCGAAAAAGCAGAGTTGGAGCGGGCCCAAGGTATGTGAAGCCGGGGATCACGGTATCAGCTGACCAAAATGGCGTCCCTTTTGGGGACCCTGGCCACAAACTAAGCGGAAATATGTTCTGATTCGGGCTCTAAGCCTCCTAAGTGGGGAAGGGGGCGCTTGGTACATCGTTGAGAGTGTAAGCCCCCACCCGAGCATGCCCCAAGCCCCCACCTGAGCATTCAGCGGCCCTGCGGCCTGCCCCAAGTTCACCCCCAAACCACACCAGCGCCACAAGCCCCCCCCCACTTGGCGCCTCCGTGGCCACCTCATCCAGCACGAAGCCGGTGCTCTGCTGCACGAAGGCCTCTGGCGCGACAAGGGTATGGGTCAAAATTAAAGCACCATCGGACCGCTGGTTTTCTGTCATTTCCAATTTACCAGGGCAAGCCATCTTGGGGTTACCCGATTTTTCACAACCACAGCCACAAGCGTTCTCCACAAAAACCACGACCCCATGAGGCAACTCAGGCAAGCGCATGCAGTGGGCAAATATCCCGAACCGGGGCAAATTGTCGGCGCTCACGAACTTGAGCAAGGCGAACAAATAAGATGTGTCAGCCTACAAGCAGCAAGAAGCAACCAACTCGGCAAAAAAAAAAAAAAGTGACAAAGTGGCCCACCACGCTCATGATCTTTCCTTCCAGGACAAGTGGAAGGACCCCTGAGAAATCGATGTGAAAAAGAAGACGTTGGAAAGGTGCAAGTGGTGGCTTCCAGGGAAGGGCCCATGTGAAATAAGGGGAGGGGGGCTGGCAAAACTGCGGGACAACTATGCAGATCGTGAGACACGCTCTGGGCATGAGCTTTGTTGGGCACCCCCATCGGAGGGCATCATTTCGCGGATTCATGTCCAACTCTTGAGGTCGTTCAATTTGCCAACCGGGAAATGAAGAGGTGTATCTCACAATTCCCCCCACAAGAAAAGATTCTCTTTTGGGAGTTCTTTTAAAACCATCCAATGAGGGCACCCAACTCCGGGAAAAGACAAAACCTCAGAAGGACCGGGAGCTTCTCAAACTCTCACTGGAAATGCCCATTTGGATCTATCCTTCTTTAAAATTGGCATTTATTTTTGTTGCTGACTGTAAAGGAAGACCGAATGAACACCGAACAAACAAAAAAAACACACCCATTTGGCCGTGGTTACCAAAATCGCCCCATAGATGGAACCAAATTGACTAAAACCTGCGAGAGACCCAGCTCCTGAGCTTTGCGCCACATCCCTTTTGACCAATACTCCGAGCCGTCGAGCCGCCGAGCTGCTAGGAGCCCCGGCCACAAACTCCTCCCGCGAGAGGCAGTTCACGTGGCCGATGCCCTCCCAGTCGTCCGACCAACTCATCACCAGGCCCTCGCGACGGCGCTTGCCGCGACGCGCTCGGCGCGCTCGGCGCGGTTTGTCTCTCGCGGCCGCGGGGGTTTCTGAGGCGCGGCGAATCGCCACCGGGGGCGGGGGGGGTCCCGCAGGTTTAAATCGGGTTGTCCAAGATTGGGGGCCCCCCAAAAAAACGGGGTACTCTCAAGAAAGACACCCCCAAATGAACTTGAACATGATGCTGGAACAGGGAAACTTGCTTGACTCAGTCCAAGTGCGAAAATGATGTTGGAATGGCCAGGAACTTCTTTGACCCTTTCGGAAAAATCAACAATTCGGATCGAGGGTAAGTGCAGACCGGCACGCAGGTCATGCTCGCACTGGCTGGGGGAAAGGGTTTCTACAAGTGCCAGGTGACTTTTACACGCATCCTCTATTCTACGGGACCCCTGAAAGATTGGGGTCTGGCCCTGCAAAATGCCCATCCCCCTGTGGTATTAGCTGCTAACACCCAGTAAAGTATAACACGCTAATATAAAGTTCATGCCTACCCACAAATGATAAGTGTCTGTCATTCACATGCTTCCATGCCTCTTGGTGAACTATATGATAGCGTGGGCAATTTAAAGAGTTTCTGGGTGAATGGTCTCACTTCCCTGAAATGGCTGAAGTTGAAACTTGTCTAAAGGCGACAAGAGTCCCAGAAACTGGGCTGGGATCTCACCAGATCCCTTGACAAAAAAGTCCAACTTTTGGTGGTTTGGTGGAACTACCACTAAACCCTAAATATTTAGAAACCTAAATAAGGGGATGGCTGGGAACCACCAAGTGGGGAAGTGAGTTGTACTTCACCAGCCTGACATACGAGGTCGAGCCCCGAAGAACCGACATAAGTTTGGAGGCCCAAAGTCAAGCACCCCAAATACCCCGAGTCGGTGAGGTCGATCGCATTTTTCGCGCGGATCTTTTTCAAGATCTAGGAAGTTCAACGAATTTCCGCTTTGCGACACTCCCCAAACGGGTGTGTCTTAACATAGGGACCCCAAAAAAACTGTGGGGGTTCTTTTAGTTTCCGTTAAATCAACCCCGAGAAGGGTACCCTGAAAAAACAACAACCCTTGCGTTTTATTTAACCCCAGGTTCCTGGATGCGACTCACATCCAAATCCTCCCGACTCCGAAGGCATCGTGTCAATGTTTTGCGTCTGGAAAAGTTCAAAGATTACCAATCCCTGGCGTTTCCAGTTGGGAAAATCCGACATGGGCTGCTTTGGCGATGTTCAACCAGAAAGCTGCAGCTTCAAGATCCGACCCAGCCAAGTGGGCTACCTTCACCCTTCAGCCAAGGTGTACAAAACGCTTCATTTCCCGAATCGTTTTGGGGCGAGACACCCTCTGGGCTTCGTCTGTCGACTTAATTCCCAAGAAAACTCGGAGAACCCCCCGGGCGCAACAAAAACACTTCGGGCCTCGGACCAAAAAATCGGAACTCCGCCCGCAAACGCGAAAATTGGATCGACGCTTTGGCCACTGGTGGCCTGCCTGGAGCGCATGGCGCTTCAGGTTGGACAGCAAGGTGGCGGCGTACCTCGGCCAAGGCCCCATGGTTTCCAAGTGAAGGATTTCGGCCATCCGCTTTGGCAAGTGGTTTGGAGCCCGGTTTGGAGGTTGGGAGTCTTCCCAGAAAAAATCGTGACAAGCACCAGAGCGTCATATCCACATCCACCAATTTGGCTTTAACCTGATGTGTTCCCATTTAGAAGCATTGGACATCACACAAAAATAGTTGCAAACGATGAGAAACACACATTGACCCCCCGACATGGTTGGCACAAATGCTTTTTGAAAGACGTGCACCAAATTATGTTTATTGGTGGGAGGGCATCCCTCTTGGTTGGTGTCCTGTTAGTTCCCTTCAAAGCCATCCGAAAAGGGTCCTCCGTTTTGACACAGGAGCCTTAAGAAGACAACTTTGACTTCACTTGGGCTTGTCTCACCAACTTCGTTCCGCAACCCAATCCATGTTGGCCCAAAGCTCATGACCCGAGGCTTCATTGCTAGGGGCATCCTGTTTTGGGTGACCGGACTTTGAGAAAACCCCATACGCCTCCGCCCGGCTCTGCTTCAAGGGGTCACCAGTCGTGCTCTTTCGCCAAGAAATGATCCCCGTCACAAGGACACTAGAGGTGGGAAATGACGCCCTTGGACGGTGGACTCTTAAAGGATGCCCCCCAAACAAAAAGCAAAGAACAAAAAGCACACACACACACACACAACAGAAACGTTTCCAGAGGCCCGGGCGAGCCCAAGCGGCAGTTTGGAATCTCTTGGCCCTTCAGAGATCAGTCCCCTTCAGATCACTTCAGTCCCCTTCACACGGATCGGACCCCCAAACTGGATTTCGGTCTCTCTTTTTTTGGCTCCCATTTACAAAACCAACCTTCCCCCAAGACCTGCCCCCAACATTCTTGCTGGCGTCCATTCAAAAAAACCAACCAACCAACCAACCAACCAACCAACCAACCAACCAACCAACCAACCAACCAACCAACCAACCAACCAACCAACCAGTGGTTCCACCATTTTCCGCCGGGCCAGGGCCCCGCGGCTGCTTCGGCACGTGCTCGCCCACTTCCAGGCAGAGAACCCAATCGAAGCTCCGCCAGAGCCGCATCTCCTCGAGCTCTCAGCGGCTCTTCGCTGCGCAGGGGGGGGGTGGGCGGGGAGTTT